GGCTACCCAACAACGTCAACGAGGCTCGAATTGAGGAACCCGAAATTCGAGCCGAAGTACAAGTAGATATCAATTCACGAATAGCTCTAGAAGCGAATCAACGTTCCGAGTAGGAAAGAAGCGTTCAGGGTGGCACTCGACCCATAGCCCGAGACACCCACAACACGGGAGAAATCGGGGTCAGCTTGCGCATGATTTTCGAAATGCTACAAGCCCAACAAGTAGCGATAGCTCAGTTGCAGAGCCAAACTCATATGCGAAGTAATCCAAACTCCAATCCACTTCTTCGAGAAGTAACCCCCAGAACGGAGCCCGACACAGTGAAACCGAACGAGCGAAAATCAGGAACCGCTCTTGAAATTGCTAAAGTGCTCGAGGAACTCACAAAACGAGTCGAAGCCAATGACAGAAAAATTCGAAACATATGATGCTAGGATCGATCAGATCCCGGGGGCTCCGCCCATGATGAAAGGGCTGGATTCGAAGAAATTCATACAAAAGCCTTTTCCATCGAGCGCGGCCCCGAAACCGATCCCAAAAAAGTTCCGTATGCCCGTAATTCCCAAATATAACGGTACGACCGATCCGAACGAACATCTCACCTCCTATACATGTGCCATCAAAGGCAACGATTTGGAAGACGATGAGACCGAGTCCGTATTATTGAAAAAGTTCGGAGAGACCCTCGCAAAAGGAGCAATGATCTGGCATCATAACTTGCCACCGAATTCTATCGATTCTTTTGCCATGTTAGCAGATTTATTCGTAAAAGCACATGCTGGTGCCATAAAGGTCGCAACGAGGAAATCGGATCTATTCAAAGTAAAACAAAGGGGTGACAAAATACTGAGGGAATTCGTATCCCGGTTTCAAATGGAACGCATGGATTTGCCACCAGTCATAGACGACTGGGCCATACAAGCTTTCACCTAAGGGTTGAACGGACTGAGTTCGACAGCATCACGTCGGCTGAAACAAAGCTTGATCGAATACCCTGCAATAACTTGGGCGGATATACACAATCGGTATCAATCGAAAATCAGGGTCGAAGATGATCAATTCGGATTTCCGTATGAACCCACGCGTCAGAACCGCGCAACCACTAAAATTCTGAAGGAAACCAACAGAGAACAAAGGTCAAACAGAGACCGATACCGGTCGTACGTCACAGATCGGGTGAACCACGGTTCGGCACATGAGACAGTTAGGAATAACCGCAGGTATGATCGGGGGCAAAATTCTCGGGGACTTATGAGCAAGAGAGGCTTTGATAAACATGCCGATCCTATAGAAGTTCCTCGATTATCGGAATATAACTCCAACATCGATGCATCCGCCATCGTATCGGCTATCGGACGCATCAAAGATACCAGATGGTCTCGACCCATGCAGACCGATCCGGCCCAAAGGAATCCCAATTAAATATGCGAGTATTATGGCACCCATGATCACAAAACGGAAGAATACAGACAATTAAGAGAGGAAGTAGCCCGCTTGTTTAACAAAGGGCACCTTAGGGAATTTTTGAGTGATAGGGCAAAGAACCATTTTAAAAACAAGGACTTCGGCAAGCAAAACGAAGAAGAAGAACCATAGCACATCATTCACATGATCATCGGCGGCGTCGATGCCCCTCAGGGACCTATGCTCAAGCGCGCTAAAACGTCGATTGTGAGGGAAAAGCGATCTCGATTTCAAGATTACACTCCCTTAGGGACTTTATCGTTCAATGATGAAGATGCAGATGAAATCATCCAACCCTATAACGATGCACTGGTAATATCCGTACTCATGAATAAAATTAAGCGTGTGTTAATTGATCCAGGTAGCTCGGCCAATATCATCAGATCGAAGGTCGTAAAACAGCTCGGCCTACAAAACCGGGTCCTATCCGCAACTTTGGTTTTAAACGGATTCAATATGGCATGCGAAACCACCAAAGGCGAGATAAACCTACCGATAAACATCGCCGGAACAATTCAGGAAACAAAGTTTCACGTGATCGAAGGCGATATGAGATATAACGCCCTTTTTGGAAGGCCGTGGATCCACAACACGAGAGCTGTACCTTCGACCCTGCACCAGGTCCCCAAATTCCCAACACCGACAGGTGTCAAAATAGTGTACGGAGAACAACCAGCCGCAAAGGAAATGTTCTCCATCGAAGAAGCAAAACCAACATCTTCGTCTTCTCCAGTGAATGGATCGGGTTCAAAAGGAGGCACAGTCGAAGACCAGAACGCCAAATAGCAACCAAAGACATCGGCCCCGACCCAGCAAGATAAGCAGAGCATCGAAGAAGATAATGATCAGTGGATCCCTCGATCCTTCATGACCCCCGATGACTCTGATGCCACCGAATCAACCATTGAGGAATTGAAACAAATCATTTTGATCGATCACTGGCCTGAACGAAAGGTATACCTGGGAAGGGGTTTGAGACCCGAACTCAGAAAGAAAATCATTCAATTTCTTATCGATAACATCGATTGCTTTGCTTGGTCCCATTTAGATATAACAGGAATCCCGCCGGACATAACGACACATCGACTAAGTGTGTCCCCT